TTTAGTGATAGCCAAGAGCAGAGGGCTCCCCTGAAAAATTATCTTTACCAAGGCTCGAGCTTATGGCAACAGTGTTAGGTGCAAGACTTGTAACTGCCATCCGTGTGCATTTTCCTCAAGCTAAGTTTTATTTATGGACAGATTCTCTTATTGTGCTTCATTGGATAAAGAACTCACCATGGCGATGGAAAACATTCGTACAAAATCGAGTGTCTGAAATTCAAGACAAAACATCCCCGAGTATGTGGCATCATTGTCCTGGCTCAGATAATCCGGCTGATAAAATTACACGCAGTGTTAAAGTGAGTGATCTTGTAGTAGATCAAGTGTGGTGGCATGCACCTCCATGGCTTCATCTAGATGAAATAAATTGGCCTAAAGTGAACGAGCATTGTAACATAGTAGATAGTGTTGAAGAAAGAGTTGTGACTCAAGTTACTAGCAGCGTTCAACCATTACAACCTGTGTTAAAAATAGAAAACTTTAGTGACTTAGGTAAACTTTTAAGAGTCACGTCATGTGTATTTAGATTCATTAATAATTTAAAGTAACAGAATAGAGTGATTGGTTTTGTGACCAAAAATGAAATATGTAATGCTATGTGTTATTGGATTATCTTATCACAAGGTGAGTATTTTTTGGCAGAGTTGAATGATGTTAAAGTAAAAAACCATTGTCTCATAATTCCAAATTGTTAGGGTTAAATCCAATAATGGATGAAAAAGGTTTTTTAAGAGTTGGAAGTAGATTAGTAAAATCATCATTAGATGTTGATGAAATCCAGCCTATAATATTACCAAATAATTATTTTTCTCGTTTAATTATTTTGAATTGTCATGAAAAGGTACTTCATAATGGTGTAAATGAAACTTTAGTGCAAGTAAGAGGGAAATTTTGGATTTTAAATGCTAACGTTTTGTAAAATCTGTGTTACGTGATTGTAGATTTTGTAAAAAATATAATGCTAAAGCTGGACACGAGATATCAGCTCCTCTTCCTGCTGACCGAGTGGAGAAAGCTCAACCATTTGAGGTAAGTGGCATAGATTTCGCTGGCCCTTTGGTTTAAAAGGATGGTACAAAAGTGTATATTTCATTGTTTACTGTGCAGTGACTCGAGGAGTCCATAGAATTGTTATCGAATTTAAGTACAAAATGTTTTCATTCAAGCCTTACGTAGATTTTTTGCACATAGGGGTATTTGTAGAGTTATTTATTCTGATAATGCTAAAACCTTTAAAACTGCTGATCGTGAATTAAAATATTTGTATAAATTGTGTAAAGATTAAAAAGTTCTAAATTTCCTAGGGAAAAATGGGGTTGAATGGAAATTTATTGTAGAAGGTGCTCCTTCGTGGGGCGGATTCTGGGAACGTTTGGTAAGGTCTGTAAAAACTTGTTTAAAATGTATCTTAGGTAAAGCTTCTTTATATTACGAAGAACTGTATACTGTTTTAGTTGAAGTTGAAGCTGTTATTAATTCTAGACCTATAACTTATGTATACAATGAACCAAATGAACCTGATCCTCTTTCACACCATCTCATTTTATACTGGATCTAGATTGACTGTTTTACCCTCACCTGAATCTAAACTAGAATCTACAAGATCTCAGTTGATTAAAATGGGGAAGCATAGGCAATTGATATTAGAGCATTTTGGAAAAGGTTTATAAAGAATATTTGTTAGAATTAAGGTCAGTCATGTTTTCAAAAACTCAAAGAATTCTCCCGTGTTTAAAAATTAAGGATGTTTTACTTGTACGAGAAGATAATGTGAAACGCTTGTAACTGGAAGATAGGTAAGATTAAGGAATTATTTCACGGAAGAGATGGTAAATTAGATCTTGTGAGATTCAGTTGGATAAGTGTGTTTGTTAGAAGACCAATTGAAAGACTTTATAATCTTGAAGATCAGTAAAATTGATGCATCGTTTACGGATGCAGGGGGGAGTGTTAAGTTTAGGACTATGTTCCTTAGATTGCCAATAGATGGTGGTAGTGTTTGTTTGTAAAAAGAAACTGTGATGTCATAATTATGTATATGTATCAGTTCGTCTTTGGTGTTCGTCAATAAACGTTGTGTGGAATAACGCTCCTCGGTTTATTACTTTATATTTGATTCAGTCTGATTTATTAGAGACTTGCTTATATTTTGTTTAGTATTTAAATGTAGTTATTCTTTCACAATATTCGTCAACACCGTTTAATTCCTGGTCTAGATCCTTTATGTCTATTAATTTTTCTATATCGGCATCTATTTGTTTTAACTTGTTGATTTTTCATTTAAGAGTCCTAAGAAATTTCTAGTTTCTCTGCATTCACTTCTGATTTTGATAATTCAGTTTTGATTCGGCCAATTAATTTTGTAACGGCAGCTCCTTATGTGGCCGCGTTTCCTTTCCAATGTATCGATGAATTCCGTCATTGTTTGATAATCAATAATTCAACAAATATCAACAATTCGCTTTCATTCGCGGCACGGGATGCCAAAAAATGTATTAATGTGTTCATGATCAATAATGATCTTTAGAAAATAAAAGGTAAAAAGGCTTACCTTTTAATCGATCTTCTTTTTCGTTCTAAAGCATATCCGGGAATGTTTTATTTTCATTCATCAAAGGCACTACTCACGGAAAGAGAGAGGCTTCTAAGATAATAAGGTATATAATTTACAATCACATCACTAAACTAAAATATATATATAACACAGAAGAGAAGGATTACATGTTTCACTCAAACGTCCATCACAAGTTCTCAAAGTTCTGTTTTAGTTTTGGCTGCGCGCATGCGCAAATCACGTGGTTGTCGGTGAGAGTTTCAATACCCCCCTCCTCAATATTTCTGGCTTTTTGCTGTTACAGAATTGTTAGGGGTAATTTTTCTTTAAAATTTTCAACATTGCAGCTTGGAAAGTTTAGTAAGATTTGAAGGCAAGATTTTTATAGACCCATGATTCTAGGAGATTCCATAAAACTGTGACAAAATATAAAATGTCTCCATGGTATTAACACGTAATTTCTTACTTTTTAGAGAACGTCTGGAAGAACTATGAAAACATAATAATTGAATGTTTTACTTCTGATACTAGAAATTTTTTCTTAACATTTTTCTTTTTTTTTATCTTCCATTTATTTTCTCTACTTTTCACTAGACACAAGCATGGAAAATATTTAAAAAATGCTTCTAATCTTAACCGAATACATGAAGAGAAATAAAAATATTCTTCAAAGATATGTACAGTTATTATTATGTAAATACTCAGTTGTTTACAATTTCAGCCTTTACTATAATTTCCCATTTCTATTTTCTCATCAGAATGCAAATCACATAGAGAGTTTCTAAACTGAGGTTTTGAGTGTAAGACAAGAGTGTGTTTCTTCTTCTTTCCACTTGTTCCTTTAGTTTCTGACAGCTCTTATAATTTGTAATTATTTGTCTTTGCATAACCACTGCCGACATTTGAATTTGTTATGATAATAGAGTTACTGAGCCAGCTTAAGATAAAATTAAATTGTATAGTCTTTGACCACTAGTCCATATTTTTAGCTTGAATTTGACTCTTCTTGTAATTACATCACTACGAGCTGTAATTGACTTTGTTAGCATAAGAACATGCCTTTATGTTCTAACGTCTTTTTAAATAAGAAGCTTATTTTAACCTGTCTGACTGTGTACTTTCAGACATAGTGATAATTTGCTTCACATCTGTTGGGGGGTGGACTATTTAACTTTTACCAGCTCAAGTAAAACTCTCATAGGTACATTTTGGAGAGGTTGACAAGTTATGAAATAAAGCATGCAGAAACAAGTGAGAACATTGTTTTGCGTATTGAGATAAATTTCTAATTGTTAGAAAAAATGCTTCAAGAGAAGGAAATCTATATAAATTAGCCAAAATGTCTGGGAAGTCTTCAAATTAAAAAGATGCATAAATATTTTGTTGAGTGTTGTTACGAAACATAAATGGTTTGTATCTTTTAATGTGTAATTATCTAATATTGTTTAAGAATCAATGTCATAAATTGCATGTATTTTAAACTGTGAAATTTTATTAGATTGTGATTTTAATAGGGCTTTTTTAACAAATATTGTTAAAAAAATTCAGGTTTTTTAAAAAAGAATTGTTAATTGTTAGACTCTAGTCATTATGGATTTACGTGGTTAATATTAAATCTTACTTCTTTTTTAACAAATTGTTAAAAAAGAAGTAAGATTTAATATTAACCACGTAAATCCATAATGACTAGAGTTATCTAATACCTAATTTAATTACTTATAACTCACTGCTTATCCTTCAAAAATATCTCTGCATATTAAAGCGATATTATTGCCTTTCATTTAACTCTTACTGTGGTCACAAGATAAAACACAAAAATGTAAAGTTTCATATAAAACTTATTCTTCGCATCTAGTGAAACTTAAAATAACGCAAAACAACTTATCACCTCTGGTGCTTTAGTAGATTATTAGAACCTTAAAGTATATTAACTGAGTTACAACCCCTGAAACTTTACACTAAGCTAAGACACTAGCTCGTCAGACAGAGCCAATGCCACCTAGTCTAGGTGGCGTTGACAGAGCCCAGCTAACTTTCAAAACTTGCCAACTGTGCTTATATCAGGCCTTTCAGGTTTGTTCTGATCAGCAGGTCTCTCTGTAGGCAGCAGGAGCAGTGACAACAACCAGTCTTTTGTTTTGAATCATGCTGAATGTGATTTTACATCTCATTTTAACCTAAGACTTTTGACATAAAATTTACCTGCTATTTACAAAACCTCTAGACTAAATACGTGGCAAAATGAAACATAAAAGAAAAAAAAACACAATATAAAGCTGTTAGTAAAATGTAAATAAAATGTCCCTAATCTTTCAAACTATGTCCAACGTGTAAAATATTTAATGCTACCTGATAAACTTTATAAAGTGGATTTTATTCTCAAATTTGTTTCATAGTTATGTTTAGTAAGAATGCATCCTACTTACGAATATATTTTATTCTTAGATGGTTAATACAAAAATGGAGTTCAGTCATAAGTTGATTGAATTTTAATTGAATTTATTCATCTCCCATTTGCTGATAGGTCCTTAATTTTTTTCATTAATGGTCCTTAAAAGTACTTAATTTCCATGTGCAGAAATGTGTACAAACAACCCTAATTCAGGCTTTCAAATTTCAGGCAATTTTCTCTGGCATACTCGTGACTAATTCTAGCAGTAACACACCTTCACGAAATAGAGTGCTTATATTTTTTACGTATATGTGCTGCTAAATAAATATAAAATACTTTTAATTTATTTAAAAATATAATTAGATAGATTTCTTTCTTCCTTTAGCTGCAAAATGTCAGCAGAAAAGACATTTTTAAATCCCAATTGGGCAGATTCTAATCTCAATCCTCAGTGAATAAAACAACTATTATTGTTATAAAAGTAATGCTTTGGAGATTATATATATAACAAATGTAAAACATATGTAATTGGCAAATGTTTTGTTTTCAAGTGGTACCATAATTAATTTACCCTCAGCACAGCTAACACACGTTATGTGGATAGCCTGGAATTTTCTTAAAACACACTTGAAAAACTTGGAGGAGTCAGGGAATTTCATTCTGAGATTTATGTGGTAACCCTGTTCCATTAGATATGTCATACAAGTTTATGAGTCCGACTATATGTATTCTTACCCATGTCACAGTCATTTACTTTGATTTTGTAAATTTTGCTTCCAAAATTATTTCTTATGTTTGCTTCATATGAAAATATGGGGCTTATCTGGCTCTATATAGAATCTTGACTTGGTTATACTTGGCACCAGCCAGTACTACCTTAACTGTGATGTTCATCTTAGTTTCTCCACCCCATACTTTGTCATAGAATTAATAGAAATCAATGGTATACGTGCTTACAAGCCATACTGATGAGGGTGATTTTATGCATCCTGTCATGTTGCCCAGAAAACTCTCGTTACAGATAAATTATATTTTTTGTTCTTTTAGCAGCCTCTTGGGGGAGGGTGATCATCGGCTTTTATTTTTGCATTTACTTTGATTTTGTAAATTTTGCTTCCAAAATTATTTCTTATGTTTGCTTCATATGAAAATATGGGGCTTATCTGGCTCCATATAGAATCTTGACTTGGTTATACTTGGCAGCAGCCAGTACTACATACAACTGGAGATATTTATAGCCGATGTCACCCTCGGCTATAAATATCTCCAGTTGTTTGAAATCGGTTCTAAAACTAAGAAATCGCATTTTATGACATAACTAAGAAGCTCACAGCTTGTCTGTGTGATTCACCTCTCTTCAGATGACCAGATGTTTGCAAAGCCACTTATTCTTGAAATCATGAAGTTAAGATGCTGCTTGAAGTCTTTTTGCAAAAGGAATGCTGTTAAACTGAATCCTGTGTGACACAAACAGTATATAATACAAGATTCTGAATCTGTCATCATATTCTTGAATTCTGACAATTACGTATTTTGATATCAAATATCCTATTTTGCTTAAGAAATAGCAAACGGTAATTTAAATTTGGATTTTTTTTATATGTTGAATAAGCATAATTTTGCAAAAATGATTAATTCTTTAACCACGTAATAATGGGGTAAAGAAGAGATTGTTTTAATAAATTTCATAACGTAATTTTTAACAGGTATTTGTTTTTTTATTGTGATATTGGTGAAGTTTTTTTTATGCAGATCAACATAAATTTTATATAAAAAATTCACTAACATAGTTAATATAATAAAAAGAGATCATATTGAATATGCATTTTATTGAATCATATTGTATATTGATAACAAATATACATTACCTTTATGAAATGTATATTCATTGCTGAAAACTTTTAGCATGAAAATTTGTCTTGAATCCAAAAATTTAATGAAAAATTAGATTTTGTAAATAAATAAAATAAAGTTTGTAATTAAATAAAATAAAGGTTTTCGGAAGGAACACTGTGTTTGAAAATTTATCTACTTTTTCATTTCCCAAACAGGTGCTTTGGTGCCAGGAGCTGGAGCCTTTGAAATTGCTGCATATTACTCTCTTGTAAAGTATAAGTCTGAAGTAAAAGGACGTATGCAGCTGGGAGTGCAGGCATTTGCAGATGCTTTAATGGTCATTCCAAAAACTTTAGCTACTAATGCTGGCTACGAAGCCCAAGAAACTATGGTGAAATTGATGCAGCAGTATGGTTCTGCTGGAGGTCAACTTATAGGACTTGATATCAATACAGGTAATCAAGCTGTTTGATTTGCTCTTTTAGTTTTAAAAATTGATAATTGTTGCATAGAATTTCTTTTCTATATTAGATTTATAAATCCTGAAACTTGGAGTCGCTGATTATATAAAGTGAATTTATTCTGATTATAAACCACACAAATAAACACATTTATTGAAAGTAAATAAAAAATGTCTTCATTTGTAATATTAAGTCAATACAGTGGTTAGCGATGTTAACTTATATGTCTATTGGCCAAGCTTGAATCCTAATAGATGGCTTAGATGTGTGTAAATGTAGGCATGTGGCACATAAAAACAAAAATTCTCTTGAGTGGTGGGAGACTAGGATTCTCCTTCAAAATTTGGATGGAAATGAACAGTCACCTAGAAGGGGTCCAAGGATCATGTGAACAACAGACGCAGTCATGTATTTCTCACTTTAATGAAATTTCTTGACTTGTTCTGATGTTACTATCAGATAAGTTAGATTAAGTACTGTAGAATTTATAGTTTATGGTATTGTTGCGAGCGTACGGGTTCGTTACGAAATGAATGCACAAGTCCAATGAAAAATGAACAAAAAAAATTTATTATTATCACAAAATGCTTAAATTCCCTCAGATATTCTTTCAGTTTTACAATATCTCACAGTAGTTATTACTCAAACGTTCAAAACAGCTAGAGAAGGCTAATCCGTGAATTCGCTGCAGTCAACAAGAGCAGTTTCCTAAACAACAACAAACTAAGTAACTACTACGAACTGAGATGTTTTCCTCCTTTTATAAGATTTTAAAATCACGCGCTAGAATTTTCCAGTACTTTCTCGAAATCAAAAAGAGATATTTATTTATTTAAAATGCACGCGCTCTTGTATTTTCAATTTTCCATCTCAGCTTTCTTTTAATATTTGTCACGCGTTGCACCGTGCGGGAAATAAATCCATTTAATTAACAAGTCTACTAACATTAGCTGTTTAAATACCAAATTCGTAACACTGCCCCCTTCCCAAGGACTGCACGTCCTGGGCAGTACAATCCCTGGACAGGAAGGCAAACTTACACTGTGGCGTAAATGCAATAAATAATACAAATCAAATACTAAGTACACATTTAGAAACAAAAAGGACCATGGTCTTACACTATTTACAATTATTTACATCACGTACTATGGCCATAGTAATGAGCTAACCTAACCTGTTGTAAAGAACAACTTTAGGTTCAGAGTTCAGAGACTTACAGATCCGAACTACGAGGTCATTCAGCCTGTTTAGGACTGTGTGAGGACCATCCCAAGGTGACTGTAATTCAGGCCTGACTCCTTTTCGTCGAATCGGGTTCCACAACCACACCTTGTCTCCTTTGCTGAATCTATGTCCAGTAGCTCTCGCGTTGTATCTGGTCTTCACTTTCTCCGTCGCCAAAGTTCACTCGCTTTCGTGCGGAACGGTGCATCACTTCAAAACGGGCCTGGACATCTTGGATGTGTTCCTCAGGCGATGAAGGCTCATCCGTATGCCGATCAAACAGGCGGTCACAAGGCAGATGAAGGTCTCGACTGGAGAGCATCTGTGATAGTGAATACCCGGTAGTCTGGTGTTTCTCTCCGACCCTAGTAGGATTTTGGCAGATTTCTGAATAGGGTCTTTCACATGAGACGTCGGCGATTCCAGGCGATGATTCCTTTTGAAGATGGATCGTCATGTCTTCAGATGCTGAGAACAGCTTATTGTTTTTGAAGTCTAAGGAAAAATTGTATTTCCTTTAAAAGTCCAATCCGAGTATGCATGGATCTGTAATATCTGCCACATATGCTGTGTGATGGTAGGCGGCACTTCCAAACGTGATGTTCACGTTTAACTTCAGCTGTCTCGATCTTGTCACCAGGCGCAGTCTGAAGGGTAACACAGGATGGCGTCCAAATAAGTTTATCTTTAAACTGTTGAGCTAAATCTCTCCGAATGATGGTAACATTAGCTCCTGTGTCAATGATCATATTGCAAGGAACTCCATCGATGTGCCCATTGATGGACAGTCCGTTACTGTTGCCACTCACTATAGAAATCTTGAGTGCTTTAAAACAAGGTTCTTCATTATCTGGCAACCTCCGTTCCTCGATATAGCCATTAATTTGTTTCCTGCGTCGTTGCTGGGAAATGATCTTATTTTCTGTACCCTGGGGTGTTCTGCAATTCTTTCGTACGTGGCCTTCAGCTCCACAGTACCAGCACTTTTGGTTTCTTGTCACTCCTTTTCTGTTTCATGACATTTAATTGTCTGTTTAACCCGCCTTTCTTATTTTCTGTGCTTTGGGGTGTTCTGCAGTTCCTTCGTATGTGGCCTTCAATACCACAGTTCCAGCGCTTTAGGGCTGGTTTCTACGCACCAGTATTCCATCTCAAGGTCTTATAAAATCATCCGCTTTATTATCTGTACCCTGTGGTGTTCTGCAATGCCGTCGTAGATGACCTTCAACACCTTAGAGCCACTTTGTTCTCACTCCTACTCCGTATTAAATCGTCGACTTGTCTGGATAAATCATCTAAACGAGCCATTAATTGATCCACTGTCTCGTGGACTCGCCCAGCTCTGACTGGGTAGGCAATCTCTACAAGTTGCTTGCTGGGCTGCCTCGAAATTTCATAGAGTACACTAGAGATCCTTTTTACGTCCTCGGCATTCTCCATTCGCAGAGCTTTCTGTATTTCAGGATCATGGATGCCATTGATGAAATATTGCAGAGACAGAATTTCTCTTGTTTCTGTCGGGCACTCCGAAAAAGCATGATGTGACAGCCTTTCAACATCCGTTGCGAGCTCCTGAAGTGTTTCGATTGGCTTCTGTTGGCAGGATTTTAGTTGAAGCCTGCTGTAGTCTTTTAAACACTTCTCCCCAAAGCACAGCTCCAATGCACCGGATAGAGCTTCAAAGTCTAATCTCTGGTTTTCGGGAAGCATCTGCAGGATATCCACTGCGTCTGCTCTCAGAGGAGCAGCGAGATGACAGGCCTTAGTTTGGGGAATCCCATCCATTTGCATCCGTCACGATAGAAAATTGTGTCTTACACACCTGCCAGGAGGTCTTCCCATCATATGTCGATAGTTTCAGAGAGGGATGAGCAAGCATTGGTAAAAATTTAAAACCATCTGAATTGCTCCCTGCCGTTGCTACGAATTTCTTTAAAGTATTGACTTCTTTCGAAACGGCTGAAACCCTATCATCAATTTGTTGCTCGACGGCAGAAACTCTTTCTTCTATTTCTTCTTTCACCGAAGAAACTTTCTTCAATTTGAACTTTTATGGGAGAAACTTTTTCTTCAATTTGCCCAACTTTATTTTCAACCACATTTATTCTGCCTTCCATAGCATTGAATTTGGTTTCTATTATGCAGGCAATTTCTCTTTTCATTTTGTATTGACTTTCTTCAATCTTTTCTTGAACTGCTTGCATTTCGCCTTTAACGGATTTCATCTCTTCCTTAAAGGATTCTTGGCCCAATTTCATCTCTTCCTGTCCCACTTCATTCTTTTCCTGATTAGATTTCATTTCTTCTTTAAACGAAGCAAAGGCTGATATCAACTGCCGTAACCCCTTAACTGCCGCGGGCGTATATATACGCCTTGCTCAGCCGATGCATTAACTGCCCCAGGCGTATATATACATCCTTCCAAACTGCTATCATTTGCTTTGCGCTACTACACCTAAAATTATTCGCAAAGTTAATGCATCGGCTGCGCATCTGGGGCAGTTAACGCATCGGCTGAGCAAGGCGTATATATACGCCCACGGCAGTTAAGGGGTTAATTGCTCTTCCATCGCTCTTGTTATTGGCATTCAAACCCCACTCCTGACACCAAAAATGCATACGGGTGCATTGCGTGCATACGGGTTCGTTACGAAATGAATGCACAAGTCCAATGAAAAATGAACAAAAAAAAAAAAAAATTATTGTAAGTAACTACTGCGAACTGAGAGGTTTTCCTCCTTTCATAAGATTTTAAAATCGTGCGCGAAAATTTTCTAGTACTTTCTCGAAATCAAAAAGAGATATTTATTAAATGTTAAAATGCACTCGCTCTTGTATTTTCAATTTTCCAGCTTAGCTTTTTTTTTAATATTCATCATGCGCTGCACTGCATGGGAAATAAAACCATTTAATTTACAAGTGTACTAACATTAGCTGTCTAAATACCAAATTCGTAACAGTATGATTTGAAGCTAATAAGAAGATAAAAATTCTTTAGTAAGTAGTCAACTTTGCAATTTATTGCATTAAAATTATTTTTAAATACGTGTACTTGAATTTTAACAATCAACAGCAATACTTGCTTTTTGTTAGTGGTTGCAAGGTTTAGATTGTATCAAATCATGTTTAATGATGAATCCCCAGTGGGGTGAGATCAGTGCATTTTACCTCATTGTAGAGTAGCATATAACCTTTACCATCTGCATTATTCTTTGAAAAATCATTGCTACTGATACCTGATCAAATGCAGTTCTACTTCTATTAAATACCTGATAATAGCCTGTATTTTGTTATTGATGTGAATGTTATCTCTTCTGTTGGCCATCTTAATGCTTTTTCTCATGCACTGTATTTCACAGGAGTGTCTACATTGTGTCATACCTCTTCCTTAACCTGCCCAAAAGACTTCTAACAAACATACATACTAGGACTGTGGTCACAACCATCTGTTGATGCATATACAGGGGTTGGACAAAAATATGGAAACACCTTTAAAAAAACATGTTTCTTTGCTTGATATGATGTAGGAAACCCGTTGGCATCCAAAACAGCTTGCAGTCTTCTCGGAATGGATAAATACAGTTCCTGTATGTTTGCCAAGGGAATATTATACCATTCTTCCTGCAAAACAGTGGCAAGTTCAGATAACGAGAACGGTGGCGGTGGATAACGAGAACGCACTTTCCGTTCCAATGTAGACCACAAAGGTTCGATAATATTCAGGTCTGGTGACTGTGGTGGCCAAGGGAGATGGGACAACTCATCCTTGTGCTCAGAAAACCAGTCCTGGACAATGTGAGCTGTGTGAACAGGGGCTTTGTCGTCTTGGAAGACACCATCACCATCGGGGAACAAAGTTTGTACCATGGCATGAACTTGATCGGCCAAAATGTTCATATAAGTCTTGGCAGTCATGTGCCCTGACACAGTTATCATGGGGCTAGCAGAGAACCACGATATGGCTGCCCAAACCATAACAGAACCCCCGCCATGTTTCACTCTTGGCAACAAGCAGTCTGCATTATAGGCTTGAGATGGCGTTCTCCAGGCGTAAACTCGGCCAGAAGTGGGAAACAATGTGAAAGAAGACTCATCAGACCATATTACTCGCTTCCACTGCTCTATAGTCCAGGCTTTATGACTTAAACACCACCTTTTCCTGTTACGGGCATTAGCATCACTGATGAGTGGCTTCTCAATTGCAGCACGGCCAGCAATTCCCTGTTTATGAAGCTCCCTTCTAATTGTTTTGGTACTCACAGGGTTCGCTAACACAACATTCATTTCAGCAGTAACTTTTGCAGCTGTGGTCTTATTTTTCGTCACAATTGCCCTTATTGATCATCTGTCACGATCACTCAGGACACACTTTCGTCCGCACTGTGATTTAGCAGATGATGTTTTTCCGCTTTTCAAATATGCGGAATAAATCTTCGATACAGTACCTCTTGAAAAACACTAAACACCTCGGCTACCTTGCTTACGGAAGCACCTACCATACGTGCTCCAACAATTTGCCCACGTTCCAAGTCTGTTAACTCTGACATAATGCAATGACAACCTCACATAACAGTACTCTGACAACAACTGAACTGTTTAGCACATTTACGAAGTTGTATAGGTGGCGTCAGTAGTCAGAAATGCCAGTGCCACCTACATATTTCATTAAAATCAATCTTTCTTTTCAAACATGCATTTCACAAGGTGTTTCCATATTTTTGTCCATCCACTGTAAACTAGTTGAGCACTTGCAGAATATCTTACAAGTTTTTTTTTTTTTTCCCCCCATGTGTAGTGTGAATATAAGTCAGATATTCCTTAAAAATACTTCATGAAGGCATTCCTCCCTCAGATTACCTTCACATATATTTCCATATTTATTAAGAATAACTAAATTAACTAGCTGCCAGCAGATGTTGAAGGACTCAACATTTGTTGGTTCTTTCAGGGTTGCCACGCTACCTGGAAAACCGGAAAAAGTCAGGGAATTCGGAAATTGACCAACAAATTCAGGGAAAAGTCAGGGAATTTAAGTGTTTTAGTCAAAATCTGGAAAAGTCAGGGAATTTCATACAACGATCCCACCAAAAAAGGCGAGTTTTGCGCCGACATCGGAAGAGATAACTTTGTTGGCAAATTGTGTATCACGCGAGTGTCATTCGGGCAGCTGGCATAGAGCCAATTTTCGCAGCTCCAATTTGGTTGTCTTTTTAGAAAGGCAAAGCAAGTTTCCCGCAACTTTTGGTTTCCAGTAACCTCGAGAATCGCATTTGCAGTGCATGAACTGTACCTGTTCTCGTATAAAACAAAATGGGTTTAATCCTAGTATACGGTACCATGAAGGTTAGAATTAAAAAAATATGTATTGTAAAGAAGGAAAACCTCTCTGCAACAGCCATGGCTCGGTTCCATCATAGCGGGAAACAGCTGTGCATGCGCGATATATCTGTCGCCAAAGCTCGAAACCGGTGTCGAAGTTCAAAGGTCACGTTATCAAGAGTTCATAAAATGAATATCGTTTAAAATTTCTTTAAACTCTAAAGGAAAAGAAAATATTTTTTGGCGCAAGTAAATTAATTCATGGATTAGTTATATTGAGGGAGGGAAATCTACGAAAATCCGTTTTTAAAATTATTGCAAAAAATCCAAGAAAAAACGTTCTTTGATAAAACATTTCTTCTTGGATTTTTCACAATAATAACGGATTTTTGTAGTTTTCTTTTTTCTCAAAGGACGTTTCTTCTTAACACGTGTTTCTCAATTTCCTGTACACATCGCGGAGAGGGAAATTCTGGCCGTTCCGTCGTCAAATCCCTTGGCAAATTTTCCCTCCGCTTTTTACATACATTCTTTGGTCAGAATAATCTCCATGTTATGGTACAGCAGGATTTGGCGACATGACGATGAGCAGTAAACGTGTCATTTTGTTCTTGGCGACAATTTTCAAAATCATGCGAAGGCCGTATCGTATACTAGAATTTTACTGCAAAATTTTTTTTTTTTTTTTTTAATAAATACCTTGTCATTTTGCAGTAAAATAAAAAAATAGTATTCAATCATCTAGGATAACCATGTAATACAACTATTTTCGCTAAAATATCGTTGATTATTCTAATTAAATTTTTAAGTAATTATCTTTATTTTTATGTTATTCATATCATTTAATGTTGCTTCTTCCCTCTAAATTTATTTCTCTGGCATAATCCTGAAATTAATTCTAGCAGTATGATGACATCACGAAATTTAATGCACATATTTTTTCCTTATGTATGCTGCGAAATAAATATAAAATACCTCAATTTAGTAAAAAAATATCATTAAATAGATTTCTTTCTTTTGTTTAGCTGCAGAATGTCTGCAAAAAAAGCCTTGTTTTATTCCAGATTGGGCAAATTCTAATCTCAATCTTCAGTGGAGAAAACAACTCCTATTATAATTATATTTGCGTTTTCAAGTGTTAAGGTGCCTTTTAAGAATACACCTCACACAAATTAAATTTACCTAAAATCTAACCTAACTTTTAGCATTGCGTTGTGATTTATAAGAACCGGATTAGCCTCGTGTTGAACTGGGGATGATCATGAGTAATAATTAAATAAAACGTACAGTTGTTATCCAATGTATATATCTTAAATTTTATTAAGTTTTTTAAGCGGAAAAGTAAACAAAAGTATCAAACAAAGTGTACCAAGAATAATTAAGAAAAAATGTCCTCTGGGATTTATTGAATAATTAAGTGAATTTGCTACACAGTACAAGTAATACCATAATTAATTTACCTCTTAGCACAGCCAACGGACTTTACGCGGATAGACTGGAATTTTCTCGAAACATACCTGGAAAACCTGGAAATGTCAGGGAATTTTATTCTCCTGTTTGAGTGGCAACCCTGTTCTTTGTCGTGCCAAGCCAAGTATCCTCATTCATAACTGCCAGAAGTAGTTTATACATCATGCTAACATGTAACAATGATCGGCCTCTGTTGTCAATAAATGGATTACTCATGGTCTTGCTTTAATCATTGCTTTTTTCCTCATTAATATCATGATTAACTAATTTTTCTTGGTATCCAGATTTGATGCCTTGCATGTTTTAGAAATAATTTATGAAATGTCTCCGTAACTTTGATTATTTGAATTTTTTTTGTTAAAGTTGGGCTTTTATGCAATTGTCCTAGACTGTTTATGAGTGTACTTTGCTTAATTATGTGAATTTTAAGGTGTATGGAATTATGTAAATTTTCATGGTGATGGGTGCGAAAGTTTCGAATATTTTTCATTGCATAACATTGTATAAAAAATATGTAGCTGAAAATCTTTTTTAGTACACAACAAATTCAAATTTATATATTTTAAAGTGTATAAAATTTCTTATTTGCAAAGTTTTTTTTTTTTTTTTTTTTTTTTTTTTTAAGCAGGGGAAAATATTGTTGAAATAGCATTAATAAGCAAAATGCTTTGCCCCCCTTTTAATAAATGTTTATTTAATCTAACCTAGGTGAACCAATTGTAGCAGCTGATGCTGGTATCATGGATAATTACAGAGTGAAAAAACAGTTGCTGAATTCTTGGTAAATATTTTAACAATATTAAATCATCTTGAAATATAAACAAATTATATATTGTCACTACTAACAAGTTGAAATTTTTTACCATAAATATTGTGTATGTTTTATATGAATATATTTTAAGTGCACTAAGATTATAATTTAATAAATATATTCAGAGCTCCCGGGCCCCATCAGTGGTAGTTCAGGCTGGCTGCTTAGGATTTTTTTTCCCTCCATTTTTCCCCTGTGTGTATAATGTACATGAGTCAGTTTTGCCTTAGAAAGTCCTCCACGAAAGCATCCCTTCCCTTAGCCAGATATCCCTCATGTGCTATGCCATAATCAAATAAACCATATCAAAGCTGGCGACTCTCCTGATAAATCTTCGGATTTTTAATGTATCTTAATATAGAGCATCTGTTTCAGATGCAAAAGAAGTAGCTTAAACAAATTTAATATAAATTAAAATTCTTTTAAGTGATTTTTAGCAATTCATTAGAGAAAGTATAAAATTTTATGAAATTGCAAAATCAAATAAAATTAGCAAAAATAATATAATATTCAATTATTTTAAATTTTAATAGATTTTAAAAAAACCATGTTATAATTAGTTCCATAATTCAAACTGTGCATTTTAAAGTAACGTGTTTTAAATGTTAAATTTACTCCTACAAAAAATGTTATTAAAGATATTCTAAACAGAGTTATTTCACTTCAAGTTATGTTTGCCAATTTGTTGGGAATCCTTTTGAAAATGCGTCATTACACTGCATAAAATCCCCCTCTTTTTTTTTTTTTTTTTTTTTTTTTCATATTTTCATTATAACTGTAAAAGGCTGACACCTATAAAACTTCTTTAAATTTCAGTAGAATGACAATGCAAATTTTTCATTTTCACTTTAAAAGTACTATAATAAATCATTGGTTATGAATTCAAAATCTTTTTTTTTTTTTCCAGTTGTGCAATTGCTTCTAATTTGTTGCTAGTAGATGAAATTGTGCGTGCTGGATTAACTTCAACAAAAGGAAAATGAACACCTTTTCTAGCTAATTTATAATAAGATCAAAAACTTTGTGACCAACTAATATGTATTTCATAAATCTGCTATCTTCATCATTTTCTGCTTAATAAAAACTTAACAGTTGATGTGCATCTGTCTTTGTAAAAAGAGAAAGAAGTGCTGATTATCATTTACTTATATTACCTAATGAAATTTCATGTTGTATTTCATTCACAGAATAAACATAAAATATCTATGAACTTTTATTCAGAATAAACATAAAAACATAAATAAACAACACAGAATAAACATAAAATATCTATGAACTTTTATTCAGTTCACAAAATATTTCATTGGTTTAAGATATCAGTGATAGCAAGTTATAAAATATATTTTATATAACACATAAAAAAGGAGACTTTAACATGTGAACTTCCCCTAGATGCTGATGATTGAAATTAACAGGTACTTCCTTCAGATTTCAGTCCTAAATAAATAATTAAAGTTTTGAAAAAGTTGCCTTGATGGGTTGATATAAAGAAACAGTTTATAACAACATAGGAAATTGAGAACAAGGTGTGAATAACAATATTTTTTAAAAGGCATCTAGCTCTAAAAACCAAAACATACTATCACCGCAGTTTCTGGTGTTTATTTTGTCTGGTCTTTCTTAGCAATTTCTTAGCAACTTTTTTTTATGCGAGATTTTTTAGTTCATATGGTTTACTTTTCATATTAACCCTTTGGCTTCCCAAAAGGAAGTTTTCAGTAAAAGAGTTTATTTGCTTGTCACATGGTTAACATTGGTAATGATTAATATAAGCAACTAATTTTAAAAAATAAAAAGTATTATATAAAATATGGTGGTTACACTACAATACTACTAAAACTACACTTTTTTTTAATGATACTGTAGAAAGCAGTTCTTATCTTTCAGGCAGAGTCCAACACTGCAAATTGTACGCTGCCATTTTGTGTGTTGGGATTCAGATGGAGGAAAAAATCTATTTTCTGGAACGTTTTTAATGCTATGAATCCTGTCATTACAGAAATTCAAAAATTTTTGTGGCAATTGTAAATTGACCTTCATTACTCATAGAGAACAAACAAGATGTACAAATTTGTAACTATCACGTTAATAAATGCCAAAATACATGAAGCCGGAAAGGTAAGTAACTTACCAGCCATTGCACGAGCAATATTGAAATTGTATTGCACAAAAAGCAAGCATATGATTCTTTACAAATGGTATCCCACCAAGAAAATGTTAGTATTGTTGAAATGCTGCATTTTATCCAGAAGTTTCTGCTACATACCACAACATCGCATCTTTATGCATATAGTTCTGCAAGAAAACCACTAGCTTAAATTCTGTAGAATTTAGAATATGTGGTTTCAGTGTTAGACAGCTGGGAGCAAAAGAGTTAATACAAATAATTTACATACTAAAATTTGACTTAAATTCGCAATGCCAGACAGATCTACCAGAGAAAAATCTGAACTTCCTTCATTCTTAAAACATTTGTCAAAAAATAATTCAAACAAATTATACAGAAAGATTTTACCTTTTTTTTTTTTTTTTGTTGTATTACTGAAGCTCTGAAATCAATTTTCCCACTGGTTATTGTTTTAACACCATATTTTGACACTTGGGATTCCTGTTGGTTTTAAAAATATATATGTATAATACTGCAGCTAATAAAAATGCATGCTAGTATATTTAATATAATAATTAATTTTTTAAAAATATTTACTTCTGTGTCATGTGGATCTATAATATAAGTTAAATCTTCTAGACAAGGTGTTCCGCCTATGAAATAATTTTGTAATCGATTTTTCAAAGTAGATGGTTCAAGCTTCCAGGTATGGATACTTTCTTGATGAATGCCTAAAATGTGAATTGTAGTTTAGTGTATAATTGAAAAAGTTTAATTGATAACTATTATAAGACTGTTTTGTACCTGGAATCAACATTATATTGCCAAAACCATAACCTTCATTCCGAAAATTCCCCCAGTAGTCAACAGATGTTACTTCCATTATGATTTTCAATAGAACTGTTCTTGATTCTGCATCTAAGAAAAATATTCAGCTATAAATATCAGTTTTAAGGGTGCTTTTTATTATTTTAATTACTTCATTTAGTAACTTTCTAACAAATTACTTACAGCAATAAATAATGTTTTTATCAAATATTGGTGTGAAATATATTATTTGATAAAATGCCCTTTTTATTGGTGCTTAAAAAATGGATCTAACAAAAAAATATTTTGGAGATTTAAAAAAAAAAAGAAAATTTCACAATACGTTACATTAATGCATCTTAAAAGCATAACTGCCATATTTTTTTTAATATAAAAAACAAGGTTTCAGTTTTAAACTAAGAAAAACATTGATTTTAAAGTTTTTGTCAAGTTCAGTTTTAATAAAACACATAGATATTTCCTGACATGAAGCCAGATTTTTCATAGTTTTGATTAGATTGTCTTGGAGCACCTGCTATAACTAAGTGTATACATATTCAACTGTGTTCTGAAGTATTGCATGAGGACTGCAACATCTAAGTGCAGCTTCCATGTATGTTCAATAAAACTTATATCTATTGGATATAGAGTCATACTTTCTGGTTGATTATTTTTACTGTAAAAAATAATCAATAGGGCAGTATGTTCTGTTGAAAGAAGAAAAGATGTGCGTCTGGAAAGCATTAACAAGAATTTGGTTTCAATTCGATTGACACAGATATATCAATCAATGACAAACACAAATGCATGTGATTCCTCTAGATTTTTAAAATTACATTCCAAAAAGAATTGGGCTGCATTCAATCATTATGCTGTGAACATCATTTTTTTTATGCTTTCTTTAAGTTGAGCCACTGAATAGCATGATTGGTCTCCTAGTACAAAATTCTTTTATAAAGCCTTTAATTCATGATATATTTAGATGAGATCCTATAGCTGTAGCAAATACTTCTGCAGCCTGTGTGTTCCCTTTGGTGATTTTTAAAAATAAATTATGCACATAGAACATTTTTGCGTGAGCATGCAAACCGTTATATTTCTTAACACAGTTTACTTGTGATGTCTATTTAAGTAAAATAAACTTTATCAGCTCAGGTAATTATTACTATTAACAATCAGCACTAAAAAATTTATATTTGAAAATTAAAAAATGATGAAATAGTAAAATAGCATCATGTGTCTCATTAAATTATTGGTTGCTAGAAATTTATTTATGTTAGAATTAACTTTTTCTGGTGATAACAATTTATATCCAAAAATATTCTATTTGGCATCTACCGCCATCTTTTTAACCTCCAATGTGGATCTTAGGTTGAAAATTTGCCCAGGCCTACAGTAACTGATATTAAGCAGCAGCTGAGGTACACTGCTAAAAAAAAGGGGGGGACAGTTCTATATCTCTCGTTCTACTGGGCTGATTCACAAAATTCAAATTGCATGTCTCGAAAGCATGACTTAGAATATATATTAGACTTATATATAGCACTATTCTAACATAGGAATTTTGACACAAAATCTGACTTTTTCTGAAATAACATACCAATTTTTTTTCCATATTTCGACTCTATGACTCAAATTATGCCTAAATATTAAATTTTGTAAAATTTGGTGCGAAATTTACAGAGAAATTCAACAATTTATGTTGGCGCTTTTTATTCAGTTTGCACCAAAATTAGTTCACTTGACAAACTTCTTAATATGTGGCAACCTATTTTCATTTCCATTTTTACCTAGTACATGAGAGGAAAAAAAGACCCAACCGTTCCTTCTTTCAAATAATGTTCTTTATCTTATATTTTTAATTATAATTGTTATAAACTTTAAGATATTTTTTTCTTTTTCGAATTTCTTTTAATTGTTTACGTTGCTATAAATTTTCCAGAAATTTATTTTATTTATTTGAATTGCGTTTGTTTCAGAAGAATACTTTGTAACCCCCACTACGATGCATTTGAAAACTGCATATATTAAGAGAGAATTGACAGTAAAGCACAGTTAACATGCCTTTCAATGTTCCGTTCAGAAAAGAAATATATAAATAAGTTCACTTGGCAAACTTCTTAATATGTGGCAACCTATTTTCATTTCCATTTTTACCTAGTACATGAGAGGGAAAAAAGACCCAACCGTTCCTTCTTTCAAATAATGTTCTTTATCTTATATTTTTAATTATAATTGTTATAAACTTTAAGATATTTTTTTCTTTTTCGAATTTCTTTTAATTGTTTACGTTGCTATAAATTTTCCAGAAATTTATTTTATTTATTTGAATTGCGTTTGTTTCAGAAGAATACTTTGTAACCCCCACTACGATGCATTTGAAAACTGCATATATTAAAAGAGAATTGACAGTAAAGCACAGTTAACACGCCTTTCAATGTTCCATTCAGAAAAGAAATATATAAATAAGAATAAAATAACCGACATTTTAACTTAGGATGACTTGCATACACTGCTTTAAACAGATTTATCATTGTGCCCATTGATTTAGACAATTTTATCCTACCATTTGGTTGCTACATTGATTTCTTAAAATGTTATTCATATTTTCTTCAAATATTTTATTTTTGAAATCGCAAGAATCAAATATCATAAGATTAAAAAGTTTTAAATTAAAAGAAAAAAAAGTAGAGGTACTATATATTACGCAAAAATTTACTTTTTCTTTAGGCATTCTGCAATTATATTAAAAAGTATTCAACTTTTCGAAACATCTTGGTATTTCTGACAATAATTTTAAATAAAGCTAGCACCTTCCATTTCATAAAGGCCCACAAACGGCCGAGCAGTAAAGTCGCTGAACACTGGTAGTTCACTCCAGGATTAGAATCCCAGTAAACAGGCTGTTTGCATGGGTGTTTTTGTGGATTTTCTCATGTGTAACATGTATGCCAGCTGGTTTCCCTTAGAAATTTCTTCACGAAGGCATCCTTCCTTTTAGGCAGATAGCCCAGCTTTGCCGCAACTTAATAATCCAATTCAATCCATTTGATCAGAGCCTTTAGAAGCTAAGCATTTTGAAGGTATGAGATAAAAGGAAAGACTGGTTTTATCAAGAGGTTTTGGTTTATTTAATTGTGACAAAGCACACTAGAGCTATCTGCCTAAGGGGAGGGATGCCTTCGTGAAGGACTTTCTAAGGGAAACTGGCTCGTATACACGTTACACATGGGAAAAACCACGAAAATGCCCATGCAGCCAACCCGTTCGCGGGATTCGAAACTCGGACCAAACTACCAGTGTTCAGCGTTTTTACCGCTCGGCCGCTGTTTCATCAGGAGGGAAAAAAACGTCTTTAGGTGACATCCACATACACCACTGGATAAACTCCTGAATCTTCAAATAATTCGATTGAGAAATCATGGGATTCTCTGTTTATGATACGATACAATGTTTTATAACATAATTTAAATTTATACAACCATATAGTCAAAAACCAGTCGCTCTTCACTTTAATCTGCAATGATATCGATTTGTCTTTTCTGTTAACACAAGCTCAATTGATGGTATTTGCTAGTGTACACGTCCAAGTGTTTTCTCTTTGAACACCTAAATTCTTTGAAGTATCCTGAAAGTATCTTCAAAAGCGTACAACTTTTTGAAACATCTTGGTATGTCTCACAGTCAAATTTCCCTAAAAATTTTTGCTTACTTTTCTCCCTAATTTTCTTCTTTCCTTCTACAGTTATTTTTAGTGCTCACACAAGAAAATTAAGATTTTTCGATTGCTAAACTTCCATAAATTTTGCATTCTTGTCAGTTTTTTTTTTAAATATCAATTACATGAATTGCGTTTCAAAGTTTAATGTACATGGTGGTTATAATTAAAGTTCCACTTTGAAATGGTCATAAAAGGAAAACTACCGGACCAAATGTTATCACACTTGGGAATCGTGTAAAGGAGGTTATGGGAATTTATTTTCCGCGGGGGAAAAAAAGTGTTCAAAAACTTACCAAATAAAATAAGACATGAAAACATCGGTTTAAAATGTGTTTAATCGTTTCTGAAACGTGTTACAAAGCATGTTCAATGTAATGTCCAGTATTTCCCGAAAGCAAATTAAATCCTGTTACTGCATTCTCAACAGTAGCTCTTAGCATATCAGGAAGAATATTACGGACATGTCGGTTTATCACACTTTTCATTTCTGCCAAATAGTTTAGATCACCATAGACAGTGCTTTTGAGATAACCCCATAGCCAAAAGTCACAGAGGATGAGGTCTGGTGGGAAGAGGGGAAGTATCGGCCTATAAGACGTTAATTCGTGAAATGTTGCCTAAGTAACTGTGCGAAACATGTGAGGTGGGGCCCATCCCTGCATAAAAACCATAGTATTTAAAATGCCACGTTACTGCAGTTCATATATCACAAAACATTTTAACATTGACTCTAAGCGAGCTGCAATCACAGTAGTCCAGCTGTCGACTGCTATTCAGAGAAAAATGGTTCAGTTATGAAACTAGCTGTCATTCCACACCACACGGTGTGGAACGACTGCTATGCTATCGAATGCAGTAGGAGAATGCAATAGAACTAGGTAGATAACATGAGGGATTTCTTTGGCCCAAATCGATTAAGAGCGTTTTGAATTAGTATCTTCATGTTCAAAAATTACAAATTAGCAGTCTGTAAGAAAACGATTTCCAGATTGTATGCACTTGTGCGAGTGATTTCTAATTGCTAATTTGTGGTTTTCACGGATGGCGCACTCGACTTTTATCAAATTTAACGCCTTTAAATGGTAATTTGCTTACTTCAAAGTTTCTTAAGGGTATACAACATATTAACCCCTTAACTGCCGCAGGCATATATATACGCCTTGCTCAGCCGATACGTTAACTGCCCCAGGCGTATATATACGTCCTTCCAAACTGCTATCATTTGCTTTGCGCTGCTACACCTAAAATTATTCGCAAAGTTAACGCATCGGCTGCGCATCTGGGGCAGTTAACGCATCGGCTGAGCAAGGCGTATATATACGCCCGCGGCAGTTAAGGGGTTAAACCCGTGTAACAAAAGGTTAAGTTTAATTTCGACCTATATTTCGTT